GGATGCCTAGTCATTCTGCTTTAGGGGCTGCCCCCTCAATATATACCCCCAGTGCTGTCGGGCGTGTTTACGGATGTGGAGGCCTCCCTGAAGGATATCAGGCTCCTGTTGGAGGAGGACGAGCTGCTAGAAGAGAAGTTCCAGGAGGCAGTGGGTCAGGCGGGTGCCAGCCTGACGGTCTCCAAGGCTGAGCTGGCAGACGTGAGGCGAGAATGGACCAAGTACATGGAAGTCCACGAGAAGGCCTCCTTCACCAACAGTGAGCTGCACCGTGCCATGAATCTGCACGTTGGCAACCTACGCTTGCTCAGTGGGCCACTTGACCAGGTCCGGGCAGCCCTGCCTACGCCGGCTCTCACTCCAGGTAAGCCCCATTGTACCCCATGGGGAGAGAGGTGAGCTGGGATTTTCTCGGGTCTCATTGACCACTGCCACCCACAGAGGACAAGGCTGTACTGCAGAACCTGAAGCGCATCCTGGCCAAGGTGCAGGAGATGCGGGACCAACGAGTGTCCCTGGAGCAGCAGCTACGTGAGCTTATCCAGAAGGATGACATCACTGCCTCGCTGGTTACTACTGACCACTCGGAGATGAAGGTGGGCTGGGTGAGCGGGGTTGGGGGCCTCTGGCTCCAGGCTCCACCCTTAGGAGGTGAAGCCCTGAGTGTCCATCCCTTGCACCCCCAACACTCACTCAGAAGCTGTTCGAGGAGCAGCTGAAGAAGTACGACCAGCTGAGGGTGTACTTGGAGCAGAACCTGGCTGCCCAGGACAACGTCCTCCGCGCGCTGACAGAGGCCAATGTGCAGTACGCAGCCGTGCGGCGGGTGCTCAGTGACTTGGACCAAAAGTCAGTGCCCTACCTTGTGTTCTTGCCCAAACCCCGCCCAGAGCCCTGCTCCTGCAGCTCACTTCATGCTGGGTCTTTTGCCTGCCAGGTGGAACTCCACGCTACAGACCCTGGTGGCCTCATATGAAGCCTATGAGGACCTGATGAAGAAGTCCCAAGAAGGCAAAGACTTCTATGCGGACCTGGAAAGCAAGGTGGCTGCTCTGCTGGAACGGGCACAGTCCACCTGCCAGGCCCGTGAGGCTGCCCGCCAGCAGCTCCTGGACAGGTGGGTGTGGTGCAGCTCCAGCCAGACCAGCTGGGCTGATGGGATCTGGCCCTACTTTCACCCTGCATGTCCCACAGGGAGCTGAAGAAGAAGCCACCACCACGGCCCACAGCCCCAAAGCCACTGCTGCCCCGCAAGGAGGAGGGTGAAGCAATGGAGGCAGGAGACATGCCGGAGGAGCTGCGCAGCCTGCCTCTTGACATGGTGGCAGGCCCACGGCCACCGGACACCTTCCTGGGAACTGCTGCCCCACTCCGCTTTCCTCCTGGCCCCTTCCCTGGCTCCACAGGCCCAGGACCCCACTATCTCTCAGGCCCCTTACCTCCTGGGACCTACTCAGGCCCCACCCAGCTCATGCAGCCCAGGGCCCCAGGGCCCCCCGCCTTGCCTATGGCGCCTGGACCTGCCCTCTACCCAGCCCCTGCCTACACACCAGAGCTGGCCCTTGCGCCCCGATCCTCGCCCCAGCATGGCGTGGTGAGCAGTCCCTATGCTGGGGTAGGGCTGCCACCACCAGTAGCAGGACTGCCCTCAGCCCCACCTCCTCAACTCTCGGGCCCTGAGTTGGCCATGGTGGTTCGGCCAGCCACCACCACAGTAGACAGTGTTCAGGCCCCCATCTCCAGCCACATGGCCCCTCAGCCAAACCCCAGCCCTGCTCCTCCCCCGCAGCCCTGCTTCCCAATGCCACCGCCACAGCCACTGCCCACGCCCTACACCTACCCTGTAGGAGCCAAGCAACCCCTCCCAGCCCCCTCAGCCCAGCACCAGTTCTCTCCTGGGCTTCCCACAGGTTTTCCAGCCCCAAGGATTGGACCCCAGCCCCAGCCTCATTCTTCACGAGCAGCCTTTGGGCCTCAGCCCCCACAGCAGCCCCTTCCACTCCAGCATCCACACCTCTTCCCGCCACAGGCCCCAGGACTCCTGCCTCCACAGCCCCCCTACCCCTTTGCTCCTCAGCCTGGTGTTCTGGGGCAGCCACCAGCTCCCCTGCACTCCCAGCTCTACCCAGGTCCCTCGCAAGACCCTCTGCCTCCCCACTCAGGGGCTCTGCCTTTCCCTAACCCTGGGCCCCCTCAGCCTCCCCACCCCCCCCTGGCATACGGCCCTGCCCCTTCTCCCAGGCCCCTGGGCCCCCAGGCAAGCCTTCTCTCCATTCGAGGTCCCCCACCCGCTGGCCAGCCTTCCCCCAGTCCCCACCTGGTGCCTTCACCTGCCCCATCGCCAGGGCCTGGGCCAGTACCCCCTCGGCCCCCAGCAGCAGAGCCACCCCCGTGCCTGCGCCGAGGCGCTACGGCTGCAGACCTGCTTTCCTCTAGCCCTGAGAGCCAGCATGGCGGCACTCAGCCTCCTGGGGGTGGGCAGCCCCTGCTGCAGCCTACCAAGGTGGATGCAGCTGAGGGCCGCCGGCCACAGGCCCTGCGGCTAATTGAGCGGGACCCTTATGAGCATCCTGAGAGGCTACGGCAGTTGCAGCAGGAGCTGGAGGCCTTTCGAGGCCAGCTGGGGGATGCAGGGGCTCTGGACAGCATCTGGCGGGAGTTGCAAGAAGCACAGGAGCACGATGCCCGAGGCCGTTCCATCGCCATTGCCCGCTGCTACTCGCTGAAGAACCGGCACCAGGATGTCATGCCCTATGATAGTAACCGCGTGGTGCTGCGCTCCGGCAAGGATGACTACATCAATGCCAGCTGTGTGGAGGGACTCTCGCCATATTGCCCACCCTTAGTGGCCACCCAGGCCCCACTGCCTGGCACAGCTGCTGATTTCTGGCTCATGGTGCACGAGCAGAAAGTGTCGGTCATTGTGATGCTGGTGTCTGAGGCTGAGATGGAGAAGGTGAGAGGGCGAGGAGGGGTGGGTGTCCACAGGGCAGTGGGGTGGTACGGCAGGGAACCCTGGAAAACCAGCCCTGTCTCGGTTTGTCCCTCAGCAAAAGGTGGCACGCTACTTCCCCACGGAGAGAGGCCAGCCTATGGTGCACGGTGCCTTGAGCCTGGCACTGAGCAGTGTCCGCACCACTGAAACCCACGTGGAGCGTGTGCTGAGTCTGCAGTTCCGTGACCAGAGCCTTAAGCGCTCTCTTGTGCACCTTCACTTCCCCACTTGGCCTGAGTTGTGCGTCCACTGCCCTGGATGGTGGGGGATGGGCGTCTAGCCCTTGATACTGGGAGGGGTGAGGGTCTCAGATCAGGCCCGGCTTATGGGCCCTGCACTGCCCCGTCCTGCAGAGGCCTGCCTGACAGCCCCAGCAACCTGCTGCGCTTCATCCAGGAGGTACACGCGCATTACCTGCACCAGAGGCCCCTGCACACACCCATCGTTGTGCACTGCAGGTAGGGGGTGGGCAGCTGCCTGAGGCTCCCTCCCCATGGGTTTTTAGCCTGGCCTCACACCCACTTCTTGCCACAGTTCTGGTGTGGGCCGCACTGGAGCCTTTGCACTGCTCTACGCGGCTGTGCAGGAGGTAGAAGCTGGGAACGGGATCCCGGAGCTGCCTCAGCTGGTGCGGCGCATGCGGCAGCAGAGGAAGCACATGCTACAAGAGAAAGTGAGCTCTGGGCGCGTGGGGGCTGGGGTGGGCCTTCTGCCCCAGGGTGGTGGGCCCCCACTCAGCTGACCAGGCCAATTGCATGTCTGCAGCTGCACCTCAGGTTCTGCCACGAGGCAGTGGTCAGACACGTGGAACAGGTCTTGCAGCGTCATGGTGTGCTCCCTCCATGCAAGCCCTCGGCCAGCACAAGCATCAGCCAGAAGGTAAAGGAAAGATCCAGAGGGCTGCTGGATAGCCACAGCCTTAGGAATCCCTGTCCTCACCCACTCTGTCTTCTCAGAATCACCTTCCTCAGGACTCCCAGGACCTGGTCCTTGGCGGCGATGTGCCTATCAGCTCAATCCAGGCCACCATTGCCAAGCTCAGCATCCGGCCCCCTGGGGGCTTGGAATCCCCAGCTGCCAGCCTGCCTGGCCCTACAGAGCTTCCAGGCCAGCCACCAGCCAGCCTCCCGGAGTCCACCCCAATCCCGTCTTCCTCCCCACCTCCCATTCCCTCACCCCTGCCTGAGGCTCCCCAGCCTGAGGAACAGCCGGTGCCTGAAGCCCCCACCTCAGGCCCCCCTTCCTCCTCCCTGGAGCTGCTGGCCTCCTTGACCCCAGAGGCTTTCTCCCTGGACAGCTCCTTGCGGGGAAAGCAGCGGATGAGCAAGCAAAACTTTTTGCAGGCCCATAACGGGCAGGGTCTGCGGGCTGCCCGGCCCACTGATGACCCCCTCAGCCTTCTGGATCCACTCTGGACACTCAATAAGACCTGAACGGGCATTGCCTACCTGGTCCTTACACTACATCATCTCTCATGCCCACCTGCCTGTGCTCAGCAGGGCCTTTCTTGGTGGGCCCGGTCTCTTACTCCCATTCCTGCTGCCTTTGGCCCTGCCTGGCCCAGCCCGCACCCCTGTGGGGTGGAGATGCACTGCGGGCCCTGGGTCTGTTTCTGCTCCTTTGTGGGACCTGACATTTTTCAGCTCTTTGCTATTGAAATAATAAACCAACCTGTTCTGTGGCCAGCCCCTGAGTCTGCCCATTACTACCTCAGGGAGGGAGCCTCCGCCTGGGAGCACTGCCAGAAACTTAGCATTCTACCATCCACTGAAGGTACTACCAAACAGCAACAGTAGGGCCATCTTTGCTTCCCACCCCTCTCAGATGGTTAACTGAGGAGGTGTCCCTAGTTCTGGCTTGCGAATCCTCCTTCCCCTTTGCTGCCCATGTGGCTACACGTTTCTTCAGCAACTCTGAGGAGGCCTAGGCATGGGGAGGGAATGTGTAAGTGATGCACAGACAGCTCCAGGGGAAGACACAAGTGGTTCACATGGCCCCTTGCAGATGTGGCTTAAAAAAAATTTAATATTACAGTCAGGAGGCAGGACAGTGCAGAGCAGCTGCCAGAAGCTCAGCTCCTTCCCCCAAATGGATGTCCAGTGCGTTGGCCCCACACGGCACCCCCGCCCCCACCCAGGCAGGGAGGCCCCTGCAGCCAGCCGGGGGGGGGGGGG